CGTAGTGATGTTCTCGAAGTAGCCCTGGAGGAATTGGATCTGCATTGCGGTATTTCATGGCATAACAATACATACTCGACTCACTACAGTTCTAAAGATGTATGCAAATCCTTAAGTGTATAACGTGACCATCCTTGGGTTGTAAGTTCAGGACCGGAGGAAGCCGTAGGAATACCAACGATGCGACGAATGCTGGAGCTTGATTGCTACATATTCTAGCTTGAAAGGTCGCTGACTGGCGAACGACTGCCTATAGCTATGGGACAGATGGCTCTGTCAGCGCGGGTACAGAGTGATCGCCTGACTCGTTGTTCAATCGCTCGGCACCGATTTATGTAGCCAATGCCGACCAGGCACCCAAGGCTCTCAGCGCTTGGTACAACTGACTACGCGCCATTGTAATTGCGATGGATCGCCGCTCGTAAAGTTGACATACACACCGTATTCATACGCACGAAAAAATCCACTTGGCCACATCTATGTTTAGCAGGTCGCGGGTGTCTGTCTGCCGAGGAACGCGGCATCGTCAAGCGGAGAGTTTAGTGATGTCCATCAATAGCGGTGGGTGCGGTAATAACGCGCCGGCCGGTCTTGAGTCGTGAGAAGAAAGGGGCACGCACCAACATTCAGCACCGCCTGAACTGCCACCCCAACCCTTCGATGCGGCTTTCGGCCAATTAAAGAACGCCCGGTAAGTAGAACCCTGCACAAGTCGTTCTGTACCTGCATGGTGGCGCAAGCTGTGCCCTTGCTCTACTACGAGCTGCACAAAGATTAGCCGTTCGCGATTGCTGCTTGTGATTGCTGATATGCGAGTTGCCGTGGATTTGATGAGGATGGAACCATCCGATGGGTCCTAATTAGCGACACGAGGAGGGTCTTACCAAAACGGTTATCGGGCACATGGCAGCTAAGAGAAATGCAACAAGTGGCTATGCTGCGATAGAGTTCACTCGTTCCCCGGTGGAGTTGGCGCAAAGACTTGGTGTGGTGTTTGTTGCCGTGACGCTCTCTCCTGCACGGGAGGGTTGCTCAGGGTGAAAGTAGGCTAGCCCCATCCCGACCTAGACTGGACCCACCCTCGACCTAACACGACAATTATACCCCAGACTCATTTCCGCTCGGAGCACATCACGATCTCAATAGAGCCGTAGGATGCCGCCCATGCCGTTCTTGTACAACAATGATCACGCCAATTTCCAGGACCCCTAACCTAACGCCTTAGAGGCAGTTCTCCACCAACTGGTGCTCACAGGCCACGGCACATAGGTCAAAACCGCTGTGTTCCCCAAGGTTTCCTTCTTTTTCTCACTACGCAAGGCTTTCAAGTTACGCATCACCAGCCTCGTTGACAAGCACCCTTGGCCTTTGTGCCCCGTCACTCATTACACACTTTACTTAATATTACCCGCTTCACTCGCTCAGCGGACGATCACCACTACCCCTAGCCACCTCAAACCACGTAAACAAGTTCAAGATGCGTTACTCTTACGTTGCAGCTGCCCTCGTTGGGTCTGCTGTTGCCGCGCAGCACAAGGCTCATGCCGGATTCCACATGCGCCGTGGAGCTTACGCTCCCGAGGAGGTTTGCACGGTCTACACCACCGTCTACGAAACCGCAAGTATGTGAAACCCATGTTAGAAGGAGCCGTGAACAAAGAAGAACAGTTATGGCCAGTATCTTACAGCGACTAACATGAATCAGTGCCCTCCATGGCTCCCAACTCCACCATGCCCGCTGTCCCAACTTCCGTCCATGCAGAGACCGCCTCCACCTCCTGCACTGAGGAGGGAAAGACTTCCATGTACACTCCCGTCGTTCCGGCTCCCTCCAGCCCGGCTCCCGTAGTACCCGGATCTTCCATGCCCGGCTACCCTGCTGTTCCTGAGTCCAGCAAGCCTGCGGTTCCTGAGTCCAGCATGCCTGCGATGCCCGAGTCTTCCAAGCCCGCCATGCCTGAGGTGCCTATGTCCTCCACACCTGCGTACCCCGCAGTTCCTGAGTCCTCCAAGCCAGCTGTTCCCGCTGTCCCAGAGTCTTCCACCACCTGCACTGAGGAGGAGGGCATGACCTCCTCCATGGAGGCCCCCAAGCCCACTGGCCCGGCTCCCGTCCCAGAGCACTCCACCCCAGCTGTCCCCGCTGTCCCGGAGACCTCCACCACCTGCACTGAGGAGGAGGGAAAGCCCACTGGCCCTGCCCCAGTCCCAGAGAACTCCAAGCCCGCTTACCCCTCTGTCCCTGAGGTTACTAAGCCCGCTGTTCCTGAGGTTCCCGAGACCACTAAGCCCGCGGTCCCTGAGGTCCCTGCTCCCTCCAAGCCGGCTTACCCCACCGTTCCTGAGGTCTCCAAGCCTGCTGTTCCTGAGGTTCCCGAGGCGTCCAAGCCTGCCTACATTCCTGAGGTCCCTGCTTCCTCCAAGGAGGCTGAGAAGCCCAAGCCCACTCCCAGCGCCACCCACGGCTCTGACAAGCCCAAGCCCACCGGCAGCTACAACAACGGTGAGCACATCAAGACCAACGGCGACAAGTGGGCCATCACCTACACTCCCTACGCCAACGACGGTAACTGCAGGACCGCCGACGAGATTGCTGCCGACATTAAGAAGATCTCTGAGCTCGGTTTCACCACCATCCGCTCATACAGCACTGACTGCGGTGTCTTCGAGCACGTTGTCCCTGAGTGCACCAAGTACGGACTCAAGGTCATCTACGGCATCTTCCTCGAGGCCGGTGGCAAGGCCGGAAAGGGTCCCTTCTCCAGCTACGCCAACGACCAGTTGAACGACATCAAGGAGAACGCCCCCAAGGACTCTGTCGCCATGGTCATTGTTGGAAACGAGTGCGTCTTCAACGGTAACTGCGAGGTCAGCGAGCTTGGTTCCTACCTCGACTACGTCCGTGACGAGCTCCGTGGCGCCGGCTTCCCCTCTGACATCGCCATCACCACCACCGAGACTGTTGGCTCGTGGGAGACGATTGGTGATGCTCTCTGCGACCACATCGACATCTTCACCGTCCAGATCCACCCCTACTTCACCCAGTCCGTTACCGCTGACATGGCTGGTGACTTCGCTGCTCAGCAACTCGAGCAAGCCGCCAAGGTTTGCCCCGAGGCTGCTGCCAAGGGCAAGTTCATCACTGAGATCGGCTGGCCCAGCGCTGGTACCTCCAACGGCAAGGCTGTTGCCGGTGTCCAGGAGCAGAAGACTGCCATGAAGAAGATTCTCGAGAGCGTTGGTCCCGAGTCCTGCGTTTTCTCCTTCGCCAACGACGGCTGGAAGGCGCCCGGTGACCTCAACGTTGAGCAGAACTTTGGCTGCGTCGACGCCCTCCTCGACGGACTTAACATCTCCATCGATGTCTCTTTGTAGAGTCCCTATGATGTAGCCCGTAGCTCTTTTGTCAATCACGTTTAGCTACGTTATGCGTTCACGTCTTGCATCTGTTTTCATTCTGACCATACTATGTTTACTGCAAGTCGATAGCGAAGGTGGCTTGGAGGTAGTTTTTAGTGTTTAATCTATTTGCCAACAAACAGCAATATCCTGTTCAAACAAGCTTTGGTATGTGCGCAATGTTCCCAGCCGTGAAATCGCTCATGCTGTGGGTCGGTGGAGGTTGCTAATCTTCTCGGTGGGACGCAATTTAGACGTGGCATGCCAGGCATGGATCCTGCGACAATGCCGGAGATCAGGCGGTGGGAATCCGACTTTCGTGGTTGAACATGGAGAGGGGAGCCTGGCCAGAGATGTCACCAACAGCATTGTCTACAGAAGTTAGTAGGCCGTTTGCGGGGTTGCTGTGCCGCATGAGCACAGACCTAGGCGCCTTCCGATGCGCATGCGTTGAGATCTCTGCACCTGAACCAGCCGCGAATAAGCATCTGTCTTACCAAACATCTCTTCCGCATGTGCATTCCGTAGACATTCCACAGGCAGTTAATTGCGCAGTCACCGCTATCGACACTGCATTCGAATACCAGAGCATCGACAACTTCATCGACGTCATTGACAATGGCAACCACCATCCCGGGCCTTCTCAGGCTACCACTCGAAATCCGCCAGCAGATATACCACTATCTTCTCGCGCAAAGTTTCCAGAGTCGAACGATCAACATGAGCGTCCGACAGCGACACGGTGGCTATAAACTGCAAGGTCTCGAAAGCATTCAAGGCCTTGTATTCGTCAGCCGCATCATCCATGACGAGCTTCTCAACTATTGCTTCAGCCGTTTCAACTTCTTCCTCCACAACGGCTCAGAGTCCATACGCTGGGTGGCACGAGAATTCTATCGCCAAATCGGAGTCGAGAACAGGAAGCTCGTTAAATACATCACTATTCCCAGCTTCAGTATCGATCGCGTATCGCTGGATCCAGACAATATTATTACGCTCTTCTGCGTCCATAAAGCTTTCTGCCTGGAGCTTCTCGATGAGATGCAACGTGTTTTTGCCCTTCTGGCACGCTTCCCAGCATTGGAAGAACTCGATCTGGGAATTGAAACTCGGGAGGCAACGCGGCCGACTGAACGCATGCATTACAGGATACCGCCGCCGTCTACGTCGAGAGCTGGTCTGAGAAGAGAGCGTGGGATGACGTACGCGAGTGATATTAGAGACGCTCTGCGAGAAGCAAGATTTCTACCAACAAGAGTGACTCTCGGTATCTGGTGGACGACGACAGGTATTAGTGAAATCGAGCTAAGAACGCATGAGGAAATTCGGCAAGACGAGGAAGACGTTCTGCATCAAATACGAGAAGACATTGCGCCTGTTCGAGTTGTATTCAAAGGCGTCATGTAAATAACGAGCACGCTCTGGAAGTCCATATCGCATTCTGGTCTTAGGGATTTATACACTGAAATTGAATATGAGATAGAGCCATAGCGTTCAACATCGGGGATCAGTTTCTTCTACTTCTGGTATTCCTCGCATGAGAACTTGACTATATACGAAAGCTCAAGAAACTAACAGATAGCAATGTCCTGTTCAAACAACTACATGCCCTGCTGGAACATACGCAGAACATCATCAACCATCCAGTGCATATCTCCACCATACGCCTTCATGACCTTCTTGGCATCAGAGTTCCCACTATTGAGAAGGATACCAACACGTCGTCGCAATTCCTCATGACCCTCGAACTTCTGGTGATAAGCTGAAAGGAGCCTCATGTTTGGCATATCCAGCTCTTCGACCCTACGACCTCCACGCAGTTCCTCCATAGCCTTTTTGTCCTTCTTAAAGCAGAACTTGCGTTCGCCGCGAAATGCTTTACGAAGCAGCATACCAGTACGTATGAATGCGATGGGGTCGTGGGGATCATAGACGAGGTCGTCAAGCCAGATTCGCACCGATACTTGCGGATTGGCTTTGCAAAAGTCAATAATGGGGAACAAGACAAGCGCGACGTTACGCCGCCTCAAAAGGCCGTCGAAACCCTTGATGATAGTGACATTTCGCGTCCTGCCATGTAGGATGGGATCCTTTCGCTCGATGAACTTGGCAAAGACCTTGCGAATGGTGGTGATGTGGGCTTTGGGAAGATAGATGCCCTTGGTCTCTTGATACAATTGCTTGCATGTATCCTTGATGGCGTCCAGGCGAACGGCGTTCTTGTACTCATGGGCTTTGCCCTTCTCCTTCTCACCGGAGGTCGCGAAGCGCGTCTTGTCGCCGTAGTGAATAAGTTTTATCTCTTTGTCCTCGTAGAGATAATTGTATATCTTGTTGCGTAGCTCACCAGGAAGCCGAAGGAGTGGGCTGTCTGGTTCGGCGAGTTTGACGAGAGTGCTGACTTCTGAGCGTTCGAAGACGAGATTACGACCGCGCTTGGACGACCATTTGAATCCTTGAATGACCCCGTCCTTTTGCGTAAAGTCCATGGAAGATACAGGTGCTGCCTTTCCGTCGATGTCTGCCTTGGGGAAACAAGTCCCAGTCGGAAACATGTTCTTTGGGAATAGTGATGAAGCAAAGTTGTGCGGGATCAGGGACAGTGGCATCTCTGCACTGCCCCAGATTGTGACAGTAAGCTTTCCACACGCCAGGCTGATGACTGCCACGATGCTTTTATCCTTGTTGATGAAGCTACCGACGTAGGGTTCCAGGCTCCATCGGGTTTGCCTGACGTGCCTCATTGTGGTGTTGCGGTTTTGCGTTCGCTTCGATGGGGAGACTCGCAACGGTGCTATGGAACCTAGATATTCGGGTACTCGAATTGGGGTGACTCGTCGCTCTAGCTAGCTATCGTCGGGAAAGATGAGGCGCTTGAACAATGGCGGCGGGAAGGGGTTGGACGCGTTTCTCGCGGAGGCTCAGCACGGCGGGGACGTAGGATAATAAACGACGCCAAAGGCAGTTGAGAACACGTTAATCTAAGATAACATTCGAAATAGGCCCCAAGACTTCCCCTCTTTTGGTTTCCCCGGCGTTGCATGCAAACGCTCGTTTGCAACTCCCCTTCACCATCCCATCTTCAACAGCCAATCAGATCCGCCGCCGTCCTCACTATCAGGGACACGCCAACCTAGGAAAAAACTGAACAGCCTAGAGCCTACGTTGATGTTAAGTCACCTACATTGCAAGTTTTTGTCCTAATGTAGTCTGCAGACCTGTTCAGTTTGTTTCTTCTATGTGGTGGGGACAGCTCACCAAAATCGCAGAATCTAGAGTCCTGTGTGGTGTGCGCATTTAATACACCGACTCATTTGTCAGATCACCGCTCGTAGCCGCCTACGAGACTAGATCCCGCTCCTTCACCGTTCCCGCGTCACCCACACTTTGACTGGAAATCGCGCGAGACTAGCGTCATGGCCCTAGCGCAGGCCGCCGCTGCCCATAAAGTCCCCGCTGCCCTCACCTCTGTCTCTCTCTTCTTCTTTACCAACTGGCCCGCTTCTACATCAACACTTCGGTAGATCGCAGAACTATCGCAATGGAACAATCGACTCTTCAGACTGACTTGGTAGATCATGGTGAGCAATCCCCTCCCCCACCTCCGCTAGAATCTCAGAACTACACTCAAGAGGTAGGGTCATCCAGATGGCCTTATCGCATCACACCTTCAGACACCGCCTGCACCTTTGGAATGAGTAGGAGGCTAGCTTCGCTACCTTCGGGCTCGCCTTTGGTGGCATCTGCTTGCACCAGCGCGAGCGATGCATGCAACAAAAACAGCCGTACATCAAGATGTCTCGACTATGCATTTGGGCGAGCGGAAGATGGCGCGTATATCGAGCGCGCCGTGACACCGCTGGTGGGCACTTCACCAAGTGCTTCACCGTCGAGTTCTGTCGTGGGCTTCCGATCATACGAATGCCTTCGGGCGCTAGTTATGTGGCCCTGGCTACTTTGGCGCCTGTCCTGGTTTGGACGGGGGATTCTTACAAGCTGGCTTGTTTGAATCATGGTCTCTTGGAGAAACGAGCATATCCGTATGCATAGACGTCTCCCTGCCACGTATGGAGAGCGATTCACAGGCCTCAGTGCCGGAACGTGCTTCGCTGGGAACTTTTGTCGTGATGGTGCGTAGTCTGCCAGCGCAATGCCCTTGTCCGTTACTCGACTTGTGTTGTATACAAGGTCTACATTTTTTTCATTGAGCTTTCACCTTCATGGGGTTACTCGAGGAAGGAATGAACTCGTCTACAAAATAGTGCGACAACAAACTCGAGGAATTTGGTAGACGGAGAATGCAATGCCCACATCAATTGATAGACTTGACGTTGGTGTTGTGCGCTGCTTGGCGATTTCCCAATCAGGTAACTTCTGGAAACCCGTCGATTACCGTCCACGAGTGTCTGCAAAGTTACCACACACCCCGGCCGTCACTGTTATCGATAACGCTAGCGTCATCTGAACCTTTCGGCGGACGAGACATGCACGTAACATAACAAGTCATGGCTGGCTGCTATTTCGTAATTCTTCGACCTTTGAAATTCTGCAAACATACCACTTAGATGCGGTAAATCTGTTACCGCCTCCGGCCTGTACTCTCTACAGAAAGCGCATGCTCATGCTTGCGCTCCATCGCCTGCGATGCCTTCCACACTCCACTCCGTCTCAAGCGCGCGCTCTACGAACGCTCCCTCGAGTAATACCAACATACGTCCCGCGATGGGATCCAACTCTGCACAGGCCTGCGCGGCCCGCTACGGCGATGATTGAGTCAACGAAGACGACCGAGAACCCTCTCTTTGACCCCGACCGAAGTTTGGAGCGCGAGCAGCTCAGAGATGCACACATATCCGTTGTCACGCCTGGGCTCAGTGCTCCTGGAAGGCGTCTAGCTGTCAAGAGACTGGACCGAGTATTGGAGTTGGTCAACAGCACCAATGGCCGCGACGCCAGTCTACACGCGCCCCTCTGGCGGGCGTACTCTTTGGCCAAGGCCTCTGACCCGACACTCCTAGCACGTCTTCCAGAAAGGGCATGGGACCTACTCTGGAGTACGCAATCCATCGAATCTTCCACCAATACGAATCGCACGGCACACATGGTACAACTCTACCGTGACATGCGCAAGGCTGGAAGGAGTACAACGGCCGGGCAGCGGGCCAGAGATCTAGAGAGCACCTTTCTCTCTGGTAGAGAAGACCAAGCTCTCAGAGAATGGCAAGAGGATCACACGTTGGGATTTGACGGCATACGACAGGATTACAAGCCAGAGCATCTCGAGGTCGGGGCTAAGCTCCATGCGCTTGCGGGGAATCTAGACCATAGCCGAAGCATCATGGAAGAGCTATTCAGGTTATATCCGGGTTGGGACACTTCCGTCATGATGACCGTCTTCCGTGCTCACACGAGTTCCGAACTTCAAGAGCACCATGATCTGGCAAAACAGATCTATGTCTCAATGAAGGAGAAGAAGGGTGATGCGCGCTCGATCAAGGACTACGACGCTTGGCTTGTGGGCTTCTTGGAATCCCGAAACCTAGGCTACGCCAAACAGGTGTTCCGGGATATGGTCAGGGAGGGCTATCTGGCAACTAGCGGCACCGGAGAACGAGTTGAACAGGTTCTGAAGAGACTGCAAATGCTTTATCGACTCGGAACTGATATAGAGGCAATGACTAGTATCGCTTTTGATGCTATATCCGTGCTACCGCCTGCTTATCACGGCCATTTATTCGGTGACTGGATGAAAGCGGCCGTTGTTAGGAAGGCGCCGTTGGTGGCCGCTCAGGTCATGGAGATGATGCTCAAACGAGGCTACAAACCGCAAACGTTCCACTTCAACATGCTCCTTAAAGCGTTGATACGGACCAAAGAGAGTCCGAACGTCCTGAAAGCCGAAGACATTGGTTGGCGCATGATCGAAGCAGCTCGTACACTACCGCAACAACATGATCTTCCTCGAGACACAACGGCGCGCATCATTTACAAAAGAACCGCGGATACTCATAACAAAAGTACCGATGTTGTCCAACGTGCTCCTCCTGCAAACGTCACAACATTTGCGCTTATCATGCAGCACCACGCTAAGAGTCTGCAATGGGAACACGTCGAATATCTGTCCCGTCAGCTCAAAGAAACGACACTTGAGCCCAATGCAACCATCATGAACGTTCTCATGGACAACAAATGCCGCCAAGGTGCCTACAGCGAAGCATGGACGATCTACAAGACTCTGACTGAACCGCAAGAAGGCGACGCAGGTGTTTTTCCCAATGGTGCAAGCATACGTTGTCTCTGGAAAACGCTCCGTCTCGCGCTTGGCGACCCTACAAATCGCGACAAACCAGGGCTGCCCACCCCTCGTGAGCTACTAGCAGAGATGATCAGCTGGTGGACGCTCAGTCGCAGCCGCTACGACGCCGACCGCTTTCGTATGGGCCTCGCAGGCGCAGATAGTGGAGCAATCACATCACTCGTCATGCATTGCTTCAGCTACACTCAAGATCTGGCTGGCTCCCTGGTCGCTTTGCACGTCCTTCGCCATCACTTCGACATCTTTCCCACCAACGAAGCAGCGCAAATACTGCAAGGACAGATAGCCTGGGTAGACATGACACACGAGACCGAAGCTGTGCGCAGTTCACACTTCCACAGTCGTTCCAACAAGAAGAACTCGGATCGCATAACCATGGTCTACAACATCTTACTCCAACGACGGTTGGCGAGAATGGATCTGAAGGAAAGCGAGTACGAGATGTTGACGGATGAGCAAATTGGTGATATGGGATTGAACCTCTTGAGCGAGTTTGTGAGAGTGGTCCTCAAGAGAAGCTATCCACCTTACGTTGTGGAGGCGATGATTGATGCAGCGAGATGTGCAGTGGGTGTACCCGACCTGCCGACAGGAGACATGGATGCTTTTGAAGTGGCTTGAACGAACTTTGTTGCAAAGTTGGAGGATGGTGGACGAAAACATCTAATATGCGTGCAAATATAATCAATACATTACAACAAATCCTTCCAACACTTTCATTTGTAACGGAAATACCAAGGCAAACCACAATCTGTCCATAGCTCTAAAGTCCAGCTTCGCAAGATGTCGTTGTAGTGAATTGATCTCATTGGCCATGGCTGCAGGTAGCCGAAACATGGATTTATCGATCCAGCCCTCCGCGGCGGCGATCGATGACGCTCCAAAGCTCAGATGTCCACAACGCGCCCAAACACGGTTAAAGGTAACGGCTGCTTATTTACGATGACGCCCACTGTCATGCTCAAGGCTGGGACGCGACCCTCAAAATTCTTTGGGTGCGCTTCCTCTTTGATACACGACCACAACCCATTCCTCGTACCACGGTGATCATGTCTTCACAGGGCGAGCGCGCACCGTTGCTGCAACAAAGATGGAGTGAGGAAGGCGAACCGCGGACTGTAAGTTTTCTTGCGCACGCGTTTTCTCTGCGTTTGCTAACTCGTGACAGCATCTTCGCATCGGAGACCTTTCGAATGACGAAAACCCGCGAGAATGGGCGCGATGGCGCAAGATGGCCAACGTGGCTGTCATAGCCCTCATGTCCAGTACATACACTCCCGTCGCCTTTACATGATGTATACTAACACTCGTGGCAGTCCTCAGCCCCCTCGTATCCTCCATGTTCACGCCCGGCATTGCGCAGATCGCCGAAGACCTCAAATGCAGCACGACGGCCGTTATTGGAACAACCACTGGCTTCGTAGTCAT